TCCCTATATATTCACATCATCTCTCACATTTTTAACACACAATTCACAACACTTTCTCATTCCTTTAGCAAATTTCACTCTTTCCATCACTTTTTCGTAAGAAACGCTATCATGGCCGGAGGAAAGTCCAAAAGCAAGGCATCCAAGAAGAAGACCGCCGCCGAGGCCACAAGCTCTGCGCCTCAACCCTTCCCGTACCTGGACGGATCCTTCTTGGAGTTCGGGTCGGAAGAAGAACTCACACGCTTCATCACCTACTTCGCCAAACGCCCGATCTCTCCGCCCCGCGTGCTCCCGGAGCTGTACCCTCAACAAAAGGGGTACCACGACCTCGACAATCAACTCAAAGAGTCGGGTCTGTGGCCGTTCGTCTCCAGAAGCCGTCAATCCTTCAATCCCGCCTATGTTCGGGCCTTCTACTCCAATCTCCGCCGGGACGGGGACACCATCCGGAGCAGCATCAATCTCTATGACATAGAGTTTGACTTGGCTACTTTTGCTAGGGTCGCAGGGCTGCCTACCCGCGGTGACGACATCGCGTCATACGGAGGCGACGATTGGATCCTCAACAACGAGGCCGTCGTCATTCGTGAGCTCGGGATCACCAACTTGATCCGTCACAGCGGCGCACCGACGATTCACTCGGCCTCACCGGATAAGCGCCTCCTCCTCTACATCATCACCCGGATTCTTCGCCCTCGGGACAGTAGCCACACCAGTCTCTCCAACGAAGATCTCAGGGTAGTGCACGCTATCATCCATGGCGCCTCGATCAATTGGGCAAAATACGTCATGATTCACATGACGGATTGTGCCTCAATCGCCACCGAAAGGAGCTTGCCATACGCCTTCCTCGTCATGGACCTCATCGTCTCCGCCGACATCCACATCGCTGGGCCGGCCACGAAGATGACGAAGCTGTGGCTCATCCAAGACAGCACCTTCCGGAAGAAGTCCGGTGACCAAACAGGCGCTGGACCGAGTCGGGCACGTGCACCTGCCCCTGCCCATGCCCCCGCTCCCGCTCGGGCCTCACTGCAGTCCATAGCCGATACACTGAATCGGCTAACCGTCACCGTGGATGGCATGGGCCAGTACCTGGAGAGGATGGACTCGTCGATACAACGCCAAGGCCACGACATGAGGGCGTACTTCCGCGGCATCAACTACGTCCCGCCGCCCTTTGACAGCACCTTCCTCGGCCAAAACTATGAAGGCGAGGACGAGGACGACAACTCCTATGCTCCGTCCTCCTCCCCCGACGAGGCCGACTTTGAGGACGCGGTCGACGGGGATCCTATGGACGTCGAGGACGACGAAGAAGACGATGACACCGAGGATGAGGACGCCGCTGCCTAGACTCT